AAAAAAAAAAAAAAAAAAAAATGCTTCTTTTCTGATGTAATGATCTAATACAGAGGGAAATGTCAATGAAAGAAGAAACAGAAGAGATTGTTAGACCAATGCCCTTGTGTAAGCAGTAAGAGCATGACCTCAGTCCAGCACACAACAAAGTGGTTTTCTTGGCTCTGGATTGGGGAACAGATAATCTATGTGTAGTAGCAGGTAGGGAGACAGCATATAAGTGGATGCATGTTGGCAGATTGGCACAGCTTACATATTTGTGAGAGTCTGGAAGTTCTCTTCTTATCACTTACATTTTCTCAGTAAAATGGGAAGGAAGCTCACCTTATGGTTCAATCAATTTGCAGTAGTTTTTAAGGCATATCTCCTTTATTTTAAAGTACCCTTCTATTCCTAGTTTGCTATGCCTTTATATCATGAATAGAACTAAATTTTTAAATTCAAATATATAGATATTCATGATTAATAAACTATTAATAACAGTAAGCACTTATAAAAAAAATGAAGACCAAGATTTATTCCAGAAGTCAAGAGGGTTTTAAAACAAAAAGTCAGGCATTGAGCTGCTAAGTAATGTGTTTTATTAGTAAAAGTACTTAATGTGAATTAATTTGGGGGATATATAGAATACAGAAGAGAAGGAATTTTTTTTAATATAACTGACCATTAACATTTTTGGCCTGAATGATCAGAAGAGCTCTTATCTATTAAGTAGAAGATGTAGATTCTAGACCTACTTCTGAAACTATAAAAATTATCAAGCAGATTACAAATATTTGAAGTTAGGGATCTCATTATGATCCTTTCACTTCTTTTCTGAAGACATATAAAATGAACCCAGGTATTTAATCCTAAAATATTATGGCTTTTCCTATTTTTAATTTCTTTTTTGAAACAGTGTCTTTCTCTATCACCAAAGCTGAGTAGAGTGCAGTGGCACAATCACAGCTCACTGCAGCCTCAGACTTCTGGGCTCAAGCAATCCTCCTGTCTCAGCCTCCCCAGTAGCTGGGACTACAGGCACACACCACCACATCCATCTTCTTTTTTTTTTGTAGAGATGGGGTGTCACTATGTTGCCAGGCTAGTCTTGAACTCCTGGACTCATTCAAGCCATCCTCCCACCTTTGCCTGCCAAAGTGCTGGGATTACAGGCATGAATCACTAAGCTGAACCCTAATTCTAAAATACTGTTAAGCAGACAACAAAAACTATGTTCTACTCTTGACATAGCAAAAGTTAAATGGAAGCCATATGCAAAGAATTTTGATGCTAAGTTTCTGAAGTCATCAATAAGACCATGATGGGTAGGGTTTTTCTTTATTTATTTGCCTCTTTTTTGTTTTCATTTTTATAGATTTTAGGGGTACAGTGCAGTTTTCTTACATGGATATATTTTGAGGTGGTGAAGTCTGGACTTTTATTGTACCCATTGTTCAAATTGTGAACGTTGTAACCAATAGGTATTTTTTAGTATTCCATGGTATATTGATATACACACACACGCACACAGCATATTTTCTTTATCCAATCATCTGTTGATGGACACTGATGTGGTTTGGCTCTGTGTCCCCACCCAAATCTCATGTCAGATTGTAATTCCCAATGTTGGGAGAGGGACCTGGTGGGAGGTGACTGGCTCATGGGGGTGGATTTCCACATTGCTCTTCTCATAATAGTGAGTGAGTTTTCCCAAGATCTGGTTGTTTAAAAGTGTGTAGCACTTCCCCCTTCACTCTCTCTTTTGATGTAAAGTAGCTGAAGATACGCTTGCTTCCCCTTTGCCTTCAACCATGTTTAAAAGTTTCCTGAGGCCTCCCAGCCATGATTCTTATACAGCCTGTGGAACTGTAAGTCAATTAAACCTCTTTACTTCATAAATGACCCAGCCTCAGGTAGTTCTTTATAGCAATGTAAGAACAGACTAATACAGAAAATTGGTACCAGGAGTAGGACATTTCTATAAAGATACCTGAAACTTTAAAACTGGGTAATGGGCAGAGATTGGAACAGTTTTGAGGCCTTAGAAAAAGACAGGAAGATGAGGGAAAGTTTGGAACTTCCTAAAGACTTGTTGAATAGTTGCAATCAAAATGCTGATAGTGATATGGACAGTGAAATCCAGACTGAGGTAGTCTCAGGTGGAGATGAGGAACTTATTGTGGAGTAGAGTAAAGGTCATTCTTGCTATATTTTATCAAAGAGACTGGTATTGTGCCCCTGCTCTAGAGATCTGTTAAACTTTGAACTTGAGAGAGATGATTTAGAGATCTGAGAGTTTTAAAAAGGGGAGTTTCCCTGTACAAGCTCTCTTTTCTTGTCTGCCACCATGTGAGACATGCCTTTTACCTTCTGCCATGATTGTGAGGCTTCCCCAGCCACATGGATTTGTAAGTCCATTAAACTTCTTCCTTTTTTAAATGCCCAGTCTTGGGTGTGTCTTTATCAATAGCATGAAAATGAATTAACACAGGATGTGATTATTATAAATTTAAGCATCGCTTTAATTTCTGTAAACTCAAGAAACTAATGATTAAAAAGTAATAGCTTTCTCTGATCAGAACCCTGCCTACCTTTCATATCCCACCTTGCACTGCATTTCCCCTTGTCCACTGTGCACTGAATTTTGGACCTTCTTTACTTCAGGCCAGTGACTGCCTTAGGGTTTCTGCACAACCTTTTCTCTTTTGCCTAGAATGCACATCCAGTTGAAATGCTTAAAGTTTGTTCTATCTCATCATTGAAATCTCAGTTTAGAAATTCCTCACAGAAAAGCCCCCATGTCCACCTAACTAGAATTATAACTAGTTGTGCAACACCACTTTGTTACAGTTTTCTGAGAATCAATTATCTGTATGATTTTATTTTCATTTCTATATGTCATCTCCTGAACTAAAATGTAAGCTCCAACACATGATGAAAACATATTTTCTTATTTAACACTGTATACCCAGTTCCTGGAAGAGTATGTGAAACTTTTTACGAACTCAGCAAATATTCTTCAATGAATGAATGAACCTAGTAATTATTTCATATAATTGGCGATTGCCCATATATATTTTAATTTTAAAATAAACATTTTTATTTAAACATTGTGTTTTTTTTCAGATATTGTAACACATGTAGTCTCAGCTACTTGGGGGCTGACACAGGAGGATTGCTTGAGCTCGGGATGCTGAGGCTGAAGTGAGACCTGATTGTGCCACTGCACGCCAGCCTGGGAGACAAAGTGAGACCCTGTCTCCAAATGAAAAAAATTTTTTAAAATGCCTCTGGCTCCTGTGTGATCCAGTGGATTAGAGGGAATGAGGAGGGTAAAACCTTACTGATCTTACATTAAAAATTTACTCTTAGCATGTAACCTAGTGACCACCTAGGGTCCCCTGTTTCATCCACAGTTTTCTTACATTTTTTACCTTGATGTTCCTCAGGGTGTAGATCAGTGGACTTAACATGGGTGCAACAACAGTAAAGGAAATAGCCATTTCCTTGTCTATGGGGTAAGTGACCACAGGCCTTATGTACAAGAAAATACACGCCACGAAGAACAAGATGACCACTGTGAGGTGGGAGCCACAGTTGGAGAGGGCTTTGCATTGACCTATAGAGCTGCAAGACTTCAAGGAGCACAGGATGACCATGTAGGATGCAATTAGGATAAGGAAGATGGCCATACTCATCACCCCACTGTTGAGTCTGCACAACCTTTTCTCTTTTGCCTAGAATGCACATCCAGTTGAAATGCTTAAAGTTTGTTCTATCTCATCATTGAAATCTCAGTTTAGAAATTCCTCACAGAAAAGCCCCCATGTCTACCTAACTAGAATTATAACTAGTTGTGCAACACCACTTTGTTACAGTTTTCTGAGAATCAATTATCTGTATGATTTTATTTCCATTTCTATATGTCATCTCCTGAACTAAAATGTAAGCTCCAACACATGATGAAAACATATTTTCTTGTTTAACCCTGTATACCCAGTTCCTGGAAGAGTATGTGAAACTTTTTACAAACTCAGCAAATACTCTTCAATGAATGAATGAATCTAGTAATTATTTCATATAATTGGCAATTGCTCATATATATTTTAATTTTAAAATAAACATTTTTATTTAAACATTGTGTTTTTTTCAAATATTGTAACACATGTAGTCTCAGGTACTTGGGGGCTGACGCAGGAGGATTGCTTGAGCTCGGGATGCTGAGGCTGAAGTGAGACCTGATTGTGCCACTGCACGCCAGCCTGGGAGACAAAGTGAGACCCTGTCTCTAAATGAAAAAAAATTTTTTAAATGCCTCTGGCTCCTGTGTATCCAGTGGATTAGAGTGATTGAGGAGGGTAAAACCTTACTGGTCTTACATTAAAAATTTACTCTTAGCATGTAAGCTAGTGACCACCTAGGGTCCCCTGTTTCATCCACAGTTTTCTTACGACATTTTTTACCTTGATGTTCCTCAGGGTGTAGATCAGTGGACTTAACATGGGTGCAACAACAGTAAAGGAAATAGCCATTTCCTTGTCTATGGGGTAAGTGACCACAGGCCTTATGTACAAGAAAATACACGCCACGAAGAACAAGATGACCGCTGTGAGGTGGGAGCCACAGTTGGAGAGGGCTTTGCATTGACCTATAGAGCTGCAAGACTTCAAGGAGCACAGGATGACCATGTAGGATGCAATTAGGATAAGGAAGATGGCCATACTCATCACCCCACTGTTGAGGAGGACTAAGAGACCCGGGATGTGGGTGTGGGTGTCCATGCAGGCAAGTTTCAACAATGGAAACAAATCACATATAAAATGGTCAATTATATTTGGACCACAGAAGAGTATTTGATCTATGATAAAAAACTGTATTGTGGCATGCATGAATCCCCCCATCCAAGCTTCTACCAACAGTAGCACTCCCGTGGACTCATGACGGTTGTGTAGTGCAGGGGCTTACAGTCATAGACCATCACAGTGAGAAGGATGATCCCTACACCACCAAAGAAATACTCTGCAAAGAGCTGGGTCATGCAGCCTTCGAGAGAAATGGTAGTGTTCTCAGATAAAGAGTCCACAGTCATCTTAGGGGCAATGACAGAAGAGTAGGTGGCATCCACGAGAGACAAGGAAGTAAGGAAAAAGTACATAGATGACCTCAGACTCCGACTTGCAGCCAGCGTCACCACAATGAATAGATTTCCCAACACTGTAGTCACACACATGGCGAGAAACAAAGCAGAGAATATTTTCCTTAGTTCTGGATTTTTTGTAATGCCCAAAAGAATGAATTCAGTCTCATTATTTGAAGTCCCCATTTAAGACGGGCTGATGAAAGCATATTGTTCTGAGCTGAAAAATCTTCAAAATCGGTATTACTTTTAATTACTAATCAACAGGTATGTTGGGTATTTTTGATACTCTGTCTCACATCCTCTTAACCTACCTTTTTTCTTTAGTTGTTGCTACAGAAAACAGCTGCTAGGAATTAAAACCTTGCAGCAGCTTCATCCTACTGATCCCCACAAGGACGTCTCCTTTCACTGGTGCAACTCTCTTGCGTTCTGTTGTGCTGCTTGCTGCTTGCTGCTGTGACACATAGGAGACACTGCCTCATCATTCTGGTGCACACATCTGAAAATATGAAGGGAATAACACGTTTGACCATCAGTAACTAGGAGCCAATTGATAAATGGTAATCACCTTAACACCATCTTGGGTTAACTTTCTTTCCTTCCCTGTTCACTCTCCCCAATACCTTCATTCTGTTTTCTGAAATAAACTACTTATATACAAGATGTTCTCTTAGCCTTTGCTTTTGGGTAACTCCAAGCTAGGATGCTGACATTCATTTCATTAACACACCCAAGAAAATGTCATATAAATTTTCACTTATTTATTCCATACATTTATTGAGCACTTAGAACATGCTAGCTGAGAGCTGGTTAAGATTCTTGTAGGCTCTTGATGTCATTGATACTGTGTCATCAAATTCACAGCACAGTTCACATGTCAAAGATTATTCACTTATTAACAACTATGCTTTTTTATCTACATGTCTTTTTTTCCAAATTTGAATTATTATCATTATTATTACATATTTCTGATATTCAGTTAGTCCCTACTATGTCTCAGTCAGTGGAATATCCTATGAGATACTCTTAGATATTCGATACTGAGGCTTAGAGAGGTGAAAAAAATTGATGCAATTTCCCACAACTAGTAAACACTGAAGTAAACCTCAAATCCAGCTTTTCCTTACTCTAAAATTCACACTAACAACAATCCGTATTGCTTATTTTATAATATTGAATGTTGAAAATAGGATGAGATATTGTCCTTCATAATATAATTTCATTTTCATAACAATCCAGTAAGATAGATTTATGCTTCCGGGGATTATTTTATTCAACACTTCTGTAATAAAATCCAATGACGATCCCATAATTAAGAGCATATTCTCATTATATATATGTATATTGGAATATGTATGTTCCAATCCTGAAAGTAGAAGGTACGGTGATTAACCGTATTTCAAGTATTCTAATCATTGTCCAGATATGCTTATTAAAGCAAATTTAATCTTAAGCCTCTTTCTGTGCTCCAAGAAGATTCAGATCTACAACTTAACTGACACCATCCCTGCACATGAGTCTAAATCAGTCTAAATCGTTCTGTGGATAATGTACATCCATATCACTCCTCCTTCATTACTCACTTTCTCACTTCCAATTTTCCTTATGAAAGGCTGCTACCAGATAAAGGATTCTAAAGAATAATCAAAATATCAATTCAAAACTTGTATTTTGTACTCACTATGTATCGTCAATGAACTGCATCTGTTACATGCATAATTGCATTTATTTTTTGTATCATACAAGATGTGTACTATAAAAGATCGTATCTTCAGGATGAGGAAACTGAGGCTTGGAGATGTTAAACATCTCATCTAAGATGAGTGGGAATTATGAATTTAGGTAATCTCATCTTGAAGCATAAGTTCTGTATCTTTATGCTGTATCCCGAAGAAGTGAACAGCAGCCTCAGCTGGCTAAATGCAATTGCTAGCACAGCCAAATGACATGGTAAGGGAACTGATTCAGTAAGTAGCAAATTCATCTTTGTTAAAGACACTTAAATAGAGGCTGTGTGCCACTTGGTTAGAATGTATCAGAGACCATTGCTTTAAATGGAGATGTAAACTCTGTTTCCTAAGACTTTTCTAAACACCTAGAGGCCCATTCTTAGTATTCTACACTTTACTAAATAGACAGCTACCAAAAGGTTTTTTTATAGATCAATAATAGGTATTAACCCCAGCCTCTCCCACCTGCAGCCTAAGAACTTCTAAAGTTCTTGAATAGTTCTAATGAAGTGGAGAGAACACAATCCTGGAAATCAGTGCAACTGGATTTCATTCTTTTGTTGTCCGTCTAACTGCTAGAACATGTTGTTACATTACTCACTTCTCTGGGTCTCAATTTATTTCCTCATCTGCAGTGTGGGGTGGGTGTAGTAGATGAGTGGAATGCTAGGAATTCAAAGAAGCTGTCTCAGGGACTTTGTCCTTTCCAAACTCAGCAGCTTACCTCTTACCTGTATTAAGCATTTACACTTTCAAGTAAGATTTTCTTTGAACAATCTCAAGACCTAAAATATTTTTAAATAGTGTACACTATACAATAATAATAATAATGCCCTTTTGCCTTAAAATCTATGAATCTATCATATTTTATTTAACTACTAATATATATCTCCACTTCTCAGCCTGACATCCAAGCCTCTTTCCCGTAGTAATCAACCTCTCTTTTTGTGGTCTTCCTCCACTGCAGTCAAACCCAACTCTTACTGCCAGAGCCTCAGCCTGTCTTGCACAGTGGAAAAGTTCGTAGATCCAGAGGGATCAGACTTAGCTCTCTGGCCCAATCTGCCACTTACTCACAACAAAAACTTCAAACCTTGTGAAAATAAAACAATGCAATCGTAATTAAAGTCAATGTACAAAGCACTCACTATTTCAGGGTACTGTGCGAAGATTTTCATGATTTTTTCTTTTAATATCACAAAAGCCATATGAGATAGACACTATTGCTATCCTTACTTTCTGCTGCAGTGGATAGTTTTGGGTACCTAGTGAAACTGATTAAGCCTATGGGTGAGTATGTCATCAAGTCCACAGCACAGGCCACTAACCTCTGTGCTCTACAATCTATCCAAGAATTTTGTGTCTGCCTCACAGCACTTTCACCAGAATTACAGGAAGTTACAAGCATAAGAATGTTTGGAGAGCACTTTTCAGATAGTCATCATTATTATTTTCCATTCACATAAGCTCACGACCTCCTCCTGCCTCTGCCCTCTGTTAACAGAGGGCCCTCTATTACCCCTTCTCCTTAATGCCTCACTTCCTCCCCAATGTCCGCCATCATCCTGGATATTTGTTACATGCACCTGTAGAGGTTGCATATTGACAATAATTAAATTGTCTTTTTTGTTAATGTTTTTAATGTCATGTTGACTTTATCTTCTTCTGGGCCTGCTTAAGGGTGTCTAATTTATTCTCTTTCCAGCACATGTCTAATGCTGTGCTGTGTACATACTTAACGTTTAATTAAATTAATTAAATCTATGCAATTGATTTCATCCAAGGAAAACCGCACTGAACCGTGGGGCCCAGGCAATGGCAGTGCCAGTCTCTGCCTCCAGGAGCGAAAGCGCTGTTGTCAGAGGTTAATTTTGATAGCTTGCCAAAAAGATTAAAGCAAAGCAAGCTATTAATTGTTGACAAAGTCTCTCCATTCTGAGATCTGAATTTGCATATACAAATAAAACAAGCAAATTAATAGACATCTTAAGCATAATATAATAGTGCATCTAATTAAGTGAATCAATTATTTTAACAGTTTCAAAATAGTAGCTCAAATTAATAGGAATATGTTTAATGCTCAAATAAAAATTTAAGGCCATCACCAAGGTTCATTTGGTGTCTGGTGTCATCTCTGTGACTCCCAAAAGCCAGTTACCTGATGATCCCGCTAAGTAGAAGGCAGAGATTATGCAAGAAAACTTTCTTAAGATCATGTCAGAGGGACAGAAAGTCTGGCCCCATCCAGGACGTACTCACGTGAACTTTCTTGTACAAAAGAGCTAGGACCCATGACACAGTAGAGTGTCAAAGTAAGTCAGGACCCGGCCAAAAAATAAATCATCTCATCATTTAATGGAAAGTTGACAGGGCTAGAGTTTCTGGGGATTTTAAAGAAACATGTAAAATAGTTGTTCTAAGTATCCAAGAACTTAAATGAAAAACAACTCTTGTGCTGGTTGGCGAAGAAGCTTAAATTTTATCTAAATAGGAAAAGTTACCAACAAAGGTAGCCAGCTAAGCTGTCTACAAAATCATTCATGGGACTACACTTGCCATTTCGCTGCACTTTGAGCTCAATTTGTAAAGAGCTTCCAATCCACATTTCAGAAGAAATATCATTAATAAGATGTCCATCTTTTCGTCCCAGGCCTGGGCTATAACAGGGCAGAGTGCCACTTTGAAATAGCACAGAATTCCACAATGTGCAGACTTGCCTCATTCCAACCGCCTCTCTTTGAGGCTGTGTCTCTGTTGACTGAGAAGCTAATCACAGTACATCACCCCTGCAGTGACTGTATTTTTCCAAGGGGCAGAGCTTCACTGGAGCCAAGCCAAGCTGATGCTTCACAAGCACAAAACTAGATCATGGTATTCCCCATTCAATGATTTTCTCTTCAGCTACCCTCTGTCTTTCAGTAACAGAATGGCCACACAATTATCCTGCCTGACAGCATAGATGAAGAAACGCGAGTACTACTTCTCTGGGCCACCTAGCAAGTATCAGGACATAATCTTTTAATACCTAGTCTGATGCTCTCTTCATGTTTTCAGACTATTCTTGAAATTGTGTCACATCTAACTGCAGGATAGCTGCCATTCTTAAGAATTTAAAAATGAACCTCAGCCAGAAAAACAATATGGACTAAATTCCTTCTCACTCCATAACAGTTAGTATTCTTAAATAATATGGCTTTAATCTTCAAAATATTTGGAGTTATAGCCTTCATTCTTTGTTTCTTTTCCGAGGCAGCATCCCACTCTGTACCCAGGCTGAAGTACAGTGGCAGGATCATGGCTCACTGCAGCCTCGACCTCCTGAAGCTCAAGCGATCCTCCTGCCTCAGCCTTCCGAGATGCTGGGACTACAGGCGGGCACCACCATGCCTGGCTAATTTTTGTGTTTTTAGTAGAGACAGGGTTTTGCCGTGTTGCCCAGGCTGGTCTCAAACT